AGGACTCTTGCACAATTCAATCAACCAAATGCAAAAGTGCAATGTTTAATTAATAACCCTTACCCACACATGCAGTCCTGAGCAACCAAAACCACAGGCACTATAGTTTGTGGTCATGCAGTTCCCCAGGCAACCCTGCACCTGTTTATCAAATGTCTCTGCCTTATAAATTTGTTCAGCTGCTTCTCTCAGCACTGTTTGTGTCCTCTCCTTGCAGGAAACCTTGCAGCCAAGCTTCTTACAGCCCATTAGGTTCAAAATTTCAAGTTGCTTCTTTACACATGTTTCATCTAAGACCTTCTCTGTTATCAAGGGCCTTGTAAAAATGGATCATTATACCTCACCATGCACATTTGGCTCAAATAGCGAGTCTAATACATGCATGTATAAATTTGATAGCTCATGAATTCTCTCCTACATGCTCCAGTGCTCCTCAAGGCAGTTTTCGTTCTATCTGTACCACAGCCCACTTCTTAGAAATAGGAGTATAAGCAAAGAACCAGTCCAGCAAACTATTACAGCATATGAAAGAGGCCAAGTTGGCTTTCAGAAGGTTCACCTGACCTGCAGGGCTGTGTGTCCTTGCCACAACCACCCAGATCACAAACCCAGCCAAAACACAGCTGGGGACATTTCTGGATGAAAACTCAGATTTGTTTTCAGTGCAATATTTGGTGAAAAAGGGAAAAACTCAGGGAGGTATGCATGGCTAATCCTTAGCCAGAGATATGGCTAAGAATCTCTTCCAGACCTTGCCATGTAAAAGTGGCTGGAATGATCCAAGGCTTTTAGTCAGTTCCTTACACATGCTGGACAAGCTAAGATTTCCCTTATTTTAAGGAACTATTCTTTACTCCTTTGATCTGCTGCAGGAAGAAGAAATTTGAGTTGCTAAATAGACACATCTTTGCTAAAGGCTGCTTCATTTTCCAAAGTCATACTGTTTTCTAAAATGAAGCATACAGATTTTAATTAGCTTCCAGTCAACAGTAGTGTCATATACGCAGTTTTGCTAGATTTAAAGGAGGTACATTTTATAGATGTTACATAAAAATGACCTCAGCAACCATTTAAGTACAGGAAGCTATACTCAAAATTTATTTCCAGGATAATCTAATCCTACTTTAAAAAAAAAAAGGCTAGGTAAAAATTACTGTATGTGTAGACTTCCAGAAGCTAAAAAATGTGGGATTAAGTCACCTTGTTAAAAAGGATTAAATATTAGCTGCATTAGGCACAGTTGGGTCTATTAGTACAACACAGAAATGCTGCAAAGAAAGGAAATTATAATTTAAGTTTCTGTCTATGATTTACATATTTCAGTTGGTTGAGTTGCATCCTTCCTAATGAATGTAATGAATCATCTAAATCACTTAAATTGAGACTGGGAAATGACAGAGTTGTTTCTCCCCTTATCAGTGTTTTCCCACCACCAAACACTACATCTTGTTAGGACAAAGACTTCAAGTATTTGCTAACAATGTATTAGCTCTCCATTCAACACAGAAAACAACAACTTGGCTGAGAAGGTTGTAACTTTCTATGGGACCAATAACACCATAAGCTATGGAAACGTCAGTATGTTTCTGATAGTTATCCATTACTACAGAGTTGAAAAAGGAATAATGTATTATACAACTATTTTCTATGGATTTTTATATTGACATAAGTCAGAGTCTCCTAAACTACAGAACTCGTTCCATCAGCGGAATAAAAATCATGTCAAGATGGTAGTATGCCATCAATTCTTGATTCTGCTTTTGCAAAAAAGTATCTGACAGGAGAGCAGGAGCCCCCCAAAGTATCCAGCATACAATGAAAGCAGAACCTCTGAAAACAGGCACGGGATGACTTCAGATGACCCAGTGTATAAATATGAATCAAAAAGGTCTGTTACTGATGCAGCCTTTACAGTTGGCTAAAATCAGTCTTTGAGTGTTACAAAGAAGACAAAGATCATGTGTAAAATATTCCGTACATGCTGAAAACAGAGGAGATAATAAGAAAACATAAAATTATAATTGCTTCCAAGAGAAAAAGAACAAAGAAAGGACAGAGCGAGTAGAACTGCTCCAGCATTGCTCTCCTCATTCAAGTATACCACACTAGATCAGCCTATTTATCCACCTAAGTCCTTCTTCACCATCAGTGGAGAAAGAAAGGTGGTTTTTTTTGGTTTTCCACCCACCATATTTTGCTAATGCAACTCAACAATCGTACATAAAGCATTTTATTTTGCTATCTAACACTATCTAACTGGGTGAAAGAACAGCGTGTGTACGGGTGCATGTTTTCTGCTCCAGCCTTATGATACAGTAAGACTGATAACCGCAGCACTGAGTCTGAGTAAAATCAGAACAGACTGAGCATAATGTGTAGTGTTTTCTGTCTGGGGGTATTATTTTGACTGATTGCATATGCGAATAAGAGTCCATGAGACTTAGTAGCACTATACATCTGTATCAGCATGTATGCTTTGTTCAGATCCTTGCTAAAGCTGAGAATAAAGCAATGATGTTAGCTTCCAGAAACCAGCTTTTAAGAATGCCGTTTTGATTCAGTCCTGTCAAATACATAAACTATACTTTCAAATCCAGTTTACATTAACTACAAAAAGAGAAAGAGTCTTTGACTGCATCTGCCTTTTTTTAACTCTCAACAGCAGAACTGACAAGTTCCTCCCCACCTTCCTGATTTTTTTTCTTGTAAGCATTTTTCTTTTTAGTTTTGTTTAAAATGCAATGTTGGCAATGAGACATTGCTAGAGGCTTTGGACTGATGCCTTCTGAAGCTTCCACTTTTCCCAACTCAACTTTTACTAGCAATAAAGAATTTGTCTCTAGAAACATGTAATTTTAATTACAAAATTACCCCAAAAACATAAATGGAATTTAATTGGTTACAAAGTAATATTTTCACATAATCAAGGGATTGTTTGGGGGATTTAAGGCATAATTTATTAGTTCTGGATAAGGTGCACATTTTGATTCCTACAGGCAAATAACAAACTGATTAGTAAGTGTAATAAAGCAGTTTATTTGTCTGACAACTGGCAGCTAGAACTGCACTAACTTACTTGATCAATTGCCATTTTAAAGAACATTAAAGCTTCTCATAATTATGCTATCTATATGGTATGCAGATGAACAACAATACAGCATTACCCCTATTACACTAGTGATTTAATATGATATTTCTGCCAAGTTTTGTACCTTTCTACATAATGCAAAAGGAAGTAATTACTTTTTGTACTGAAAGATTGAGGAATTGACCCCCTTTTAGATATGCAAAGAATTTGACTATAGGAAGAACTAAAGATGATAGCTTCTCTTGATAATTTTTTTTCTGATATTCAAAGCCATGCACATCAGTTTTGAGAAGCAGTCTTAGCTTTCCAGTCATTTAGTTCTTCAGAATTCTGTAGTTTTCAAGTGAAGATCGTCACCTCTCTCTGGCAAGAAGCTTTTCCAATTTGTTACATAAAGTGAAGTTCTTCTCATGTTCTTAAATCAATTACTTTGTCAGGTTACATCAATAGCTAACAGCTTTTGGAATCCAGTTCTCTGATGGCCTAGCCTCACTGAATTCAGTGGATCTAAGCCAACACAGGAAGCTACCACAGAGCCAATGAACACCACACACATTTCAAACAGACATTATACAATGGAAAAGACTATGACAAATGTACAAGATCACCTTTTTGAGATCAAATGATACTTCAGTGATGTAGGTAAAGAAATATTTTATCAGTCAGAAGTTCAGATGAACTAGAGTACACTGCCTTGAGAAGGTCAGTGGAGACTGCCTTGGTTCCCTGCTGTTTTACTGAAAATGTCTTGCACCCAATTAAAAAGAAAACCAGGAGAAAAAAAACTACATTAAAAATCACACAAGTTTCAAGAAAAAGTTAACAAGTTAAAAAAAACTTAAAGACAAAGGAGATATGATATACCATAACATGCAGAGACACCTAAACACAAACACATTCGGAACAGTTATTCTCATTTCAACCCAGCATCAGTACAATTCTTCTACTACTCTCAAAGAATCTCATTTAAAACAGATTCACAAAGGGGATCTATTTTAAAGTCTTTGGCAGAGAACCAATTCTGGAAAGCTATTTTGTGCTATATGAGAAAGGTCAAAGACCTTGTTAAAATTCTAATGGAATTTAAGTTTTAATGACTGGAAACTTATGTTCTGTATCACTGAAAACTATAGAGCAGAGTTTCTATTTTATTGCCATTTCTCATTAAGCCAATCTACAAAAGTACAGGCCTACTAGTAAGAAGCTCAATATATTTAGATTTCTAACAATGTTCTGAGAGATCTTACATAATTCAATTTTCATAATAAATATTTTAACAAGTCATATATTTCCTTTCTATACTATGAGCTTTCAAAAAAAAAAAAAAAAGGTGGAGGAGTGCTAAGGAAATACCACAATTCATTCTTTGGACTCTACTCCACTGTCAAAGTTGCAAATCATTTGTCAATTAGCTTATCTTTTACCTCATTTCCTGAAAAAAAAGACAAGCAGTGGTAGATTTTTGTAGCTTTCTAATACTCAAACAATCTGCTGTCGCTAATGGCTTCTACCTCACATCATCTCCTTGAAGTAGGGAAGCATCCTACTATCTTATTAATGGAGAACTGAAATGCAAGGTGAAGATAGGAAATTGCACAAACAAGCCTGTAGGTAAGTCGTGATTTCTTACATCTCTATCTTAACCAGTTTATCTTCTAGTTCCTCTTGTTGCTAGTGCATGCTTTTAACAGCTGTATTATTATTCCCTGTAGCAAATAACACCTGAGGCATTTAAAAATGTCTCCCTCCTCCATCTCGCCTCTCTACATAACAGGGATTCTGAATCTGTTCTACTTAAAAATCAACATTATACATTAATACAATTGCTAGAAAAATTCTTATTGATCAGTCGTGATTTTATACTGTATGGTATAAAGAACATTGCAGAGTTGCATTGCTGTATAGTACATACCCCATGTTCTTTAGCAGCCATAACCACTTTTGAAAGAATATCTTCTTCAACAAATGGCCTTACAGCATCATGGATAATCACTACTTCTGGTTTCTGAAGCAGATGGTTGGAAAATTCATTCTCTGCAAATACTTTCAGTCCATTGAATATTGACCGGTGACGAGTTACTCCACCTTCTACTATCATAACTCTTTTGTGGCCATATTTTTCAATGATAGACTTCATTGTTCCGATATTTTCGGAAGAGACCACCACAATAATGTCAGAAATCCAACTTATCCTAGAAGAAACAGCACAAAGACAGAGAAAGTAGACATGAATGACTAAATAAAAGGACAGAAATCTCCAGGAATCAAAGAAATTCATATCAAAAGAAATTTAAGATGGCTAAATAAAGCCTCTCTCAATATACTTAGGTACATTTTTATGTGTGTGTATTAGCACTCCACCCCTAAAGGAAGAGCTACATGAGAGGATCTCTACTGATACATGGGTGTCATCCTGGAATTCTGGAGAGTTGCTTCCAACAACTAGTTTACAGAGGGGAGGGGAAAAAAAAAAGAAAAAGCACCTTCTGATAACCCTTCAAAAAGCTTTCAAACACATTTCTTACTCCAGCCTCATTCCTAGCTTCAAACGTAACTTCTAAATCAATCAGCTACAGTCTGTTATTTTGGCTTTCTCTAAATTCATTCTCAAATAAATTGGTAGTGGGATGTGGAATACACCATGTTCTACTGTGCAGTAGACTGTATATGAGTGAATAAGACTATCAAGAAAAACTCTGAAACAAAGATCACTATCAAGACAGGCATGAGCAGTAATTGACACATTGCTAATGAATCCAAACTGTGACACTTGAATACTGACAGGAAACATTATACTGGTAGTTTGCAAAAAAAAAAATTATATATATATACACACACACACATATAAAGGTTTCTGCTCTGGGAAGCTAGCAAAATGTAAAAGCATAGCTATGCTAGGTAAAGTTACCATAATATGAAAAGCATATTTTTAGAAAACTTCAAGCTTCTACTGTTGGTATCAGGCTAGCTCTACATTTGAGGGTGGGTCAATCTTGTGACCCACAACTCACAATACTAAAGCCAGCCATAACTGAAGTTAGGCTGAAGTCATATTTGTGTCAAAGGACCTAGGAATACAAATTATAGTCACATGTGGCACACTGTACTTCAAAATAACGGAAATACAATAATTCAAAATCCAGCTGTCTTATTTCCGAAATGTTACGTAGAGTGCATAAAAAAGGATTTAAAATTGTTGTATTTCCTTTCCGTGTCTCCACAGATGAAAGAAGGGAATTTTAGCATGACAGACAAGAAACTCATCAGATCAGCAATGATTACAAAAGCCATTTACTATAGTAAAATTACTCATGTGTAGCCTACCCATCCAACTAGGAAGGGAGACAAGTATGGTAGATTCTCTCAACTAAAACTACTAAAGCTACTGAAAATAATTTTGCAGACAGAAGACAAAGGTACTAAATACTTCTAGTTAGAAAAATAACAAATTTACAGTTCAGAAATATACAGGCTCAAGCTACTGGCTTCTGCAATAACACATGAGAAGGCATTGCCTAGGAACTATCCTTACTCCAAAAGTGAAGTAATCTGTGATAAACACCACTCCCCTATAACTATGTGAAACAACAGAGCATCTTCCACCTTCTGTATGGTGAGGTGTTTTTAATTCATAGAGTCATAGAATGGCCTGGATTGGAAGGGACCTCAGAGATCATCTAGTTCTGAACCCCCTGCCATGGGCAGGGACACCTTCCACCAGACCAGGTTGCCCAAGGCCCCATTCAACCTGGCCTTGAACACTTCCAGGGATGGGGCATCCACAGCTTCTCTGGGCAACCTGTTCCAGTGTCTCACCACCCTCACAGTGAAGAATTTCTTCCTAACATCTAATCTAAATCTACCTTCCTTCAGTTTACATGCCCACTACTGTAAACAGTCGCTCTCCAGCTTTCTTGTAGGCCCCCTTCAGGTACTGGAAGGCTGCTCCCTGAAGCCTTCTCTTCTCTGGGCTGAGTAACCCCAACTCTCTCAGCCTGTAAAAATAAGAACTCCCTGGAAAAAAAGTATTTCAATTAATGTTAAAATAACTATTAAACATTAAATAAATGGAAGTGCTATTAGAATTCTTCAAAAGAAAAATACTTGTCCTTGTTCATTTTATTATTAACAAAGGCAGAAAATACAGCCAAACCAACATATCCTCAGCATTTTTTAAGTATTGAAGTTGTTCAAATGTAAAATCTGAAGTCATATGGTTTCAAGTTTCATTTCAACCCGTCACTCACCACAGGTTCATCAACAGGTTTTCAAATATCTCAAATGAGTCCTGGCATAGTCTTAGATTTAGCCACAAAACTTAGCACCTCTGCATGACCTTCAACTCAGAACTAGGGCACACTAACTGGATTCATCTCAATTCTTCTTTTGAATATTGAGAGTTAGTCATTTAAATAAAGGAAAATTCAAGAAGAGCTATTTCACACTAAAGGAGAATAAGAGCTCTGCACTTCTATTTGCAGAAAGACTATAGCCTTACAGAGTTCCCAGAAGCAGTGGACAGTCTGCATATGCACTAGTGACTGTGGAAGAGCACTGACACTTCCCACTCTGAAGTCAAATGAAACAGATTAGGAGGCAGCTGGGTAGTACACAGCATCTTCTGAGAAGGGAAGAGAATAGAAGTACCGGCCAGCCTATGATAAATCTCTGCACAGGGGGGGTGGAATGGCTCAAGGCCTCCAGTGGTACAATACACCGAAAAGTGACAGGATGCGGTCACAGCTCCACCCTGTGTCTGGATAAACACATTTATAAACTTGAGTATGTCCTCCTTAAACTCATTCTGGACTAATGTTCTATAATTAGGGCTGGGATTTAGAGATGCAACCTATTCATATAAGAGTCTAAAGGTATCCTCTAGACTGATTAGACACAAGAATGGTTAGGTTTTGAAGTCTAACGTGCCATCCAAAACTCGTAAAAAGTATTAATTCAGTAAACTATCCTACACATTCGCACAAATGAGAACTGCGCACCACACAGGTGCTTAGTCTTTTAAAGACCTGCTTATGGAAATGCTGCAAAGTGTGTTAATGAAGTAAAAAGATTTCCGTATATACTCAGTCTTGCAGTAAATGGATTTTTTCTTCTCACTTAATTTGTCACACCCTTTTCTTCAGAAAGATTTCATACTAAAATAATAAGCAGCTCAGAACCTGCTCAAAACCAGTTTAAAAATAGTAACCACCCTTTCCATTTTATAAATGTAATACTAGATCAAGATAACGCAAGTTTCAGAAAGAATCAGCACAAGGCATGAAAAAGATCAGAATACTGTACCCCAATGTACTTTAATAAGCACTAAATACAGAACTCTGGTGCTTCCATGCACCATAGGCTGTACATCTAAAGTGGAAAATCAGGTCTGGTCACATGAAACAAAAATAACAACCTGTCCTGGTTTTGGCAGGAATAGAGTTAATTTTCTTCCTATCAGCTAGGATAGTACTGTGTTTTGGATTTAAGATGAGAATAGTGTTGATAACACACTGATGTTTTAGTTGTTGCCAAGCAGTCAAGGACTTCTCAGCTTCTCATACTGCCCTGCCAACGAGAAGGCAGGGGGCACCCAAGAAGCTAAGAGGGGGCACAGCCAGGACAGCTGACCCAAAATGGCCAAAGGGAAAGTCCATACCATACGATGTCATGCTCCATACATAACTGGGGGTTGGCCAGGAGGCGGCGCAGCTCAGGAACTAGCTGAGCATCAGCTTTGGGTGGTGAGCAATTGTGCTGTGCATCACTTGTTTTGTATATTCTATTATTAATCTTCCTTTTCTGTACTAATAAACTGTCTACCTCAACCCACAGGTCTTAGGGGTTTTTTTCCGTTTTCAATTCTCTCCTCCGTCTCACTGCAGGGGAGCAAGCGAACAGCTGTGTGGTTGTTTTAGCTGCCGGCGGGGTTAAACCACAACACAACCCCAGTTATAATCACTTTACAACTGCCTTAGAAGGACCTCAATATCAGTAGAAGAAAAACAATGAGGCAGAAAAGGACTGTATGTTTGTTTCCCGCAACTGTCCTTCCAGTCATCACCTACAGACAGACTGACCAGCTGCCTAGTAGAAAATAGTATTGCTTCATTAAATTTCAAACAAAAATACATTTATGTCAGCTGAGATAGAACTCAAAGTAAAGGAGATCATTAACTCAGCAACAGATTAACCTATTACATGACTGCACAACACAGACTGCAGAGGAAATGAAATAACCAATGAGTTATGCTCGGAGACTGCATCACCTAAACGGCATGCTCAGTTACAAATGGTTACTGAGGTTTAACCCCCTGTTTGCTCACATATAAACCAGTGCTGAGCCTTATATATGACATAAGGCTTAAAATACTCACAGGTTCCTGCAACTCTTACCCAGACCAGTAACAACCTATTTAACATACAACTGCCAATTTCAGTAGGTTGTATCAGCAAAACAAGGCCAGAACCACGCAGTCACTGCTGAGATGGCTTTAGCAGTGTAAGATATGATCTTTCACCACCACAGAAACTCTTCAGAAGTACAAGACAAATCATTGTATTACTTTTGCTGACCTTATTATTCAAGCACCAAAATGAGAAAAAGAAACATCAAGAACAAAACGCATTTGCAGAATGCAAGTATAACTTCCTTTTGCTCCATAACAGCTTTGTTATGACTTTAGTGATATATTAAAAAAATTAATAATACTTATGCATCATTTACAATACAAAAATGGAAGCAGGAAGCTTTTGAGTCTGAAAAGTTTCACAGGTACATTAAGGAAGTTTTCAGCATCTTATGTACAGAAGTGATCCATTTTTTTTCCTGAAAGAAAATGCTCGTTATTATTCAGACAAGGTAAGAAAGATATCTTCATAAAATTAAAACAATTGGATTGTTTGCTATGATTATTTTTACTTCATATGCAATTTATCATAAACTAATGATAACTGGAAAAAAAGAACTATCACAATAGATACATTTAACAAAACAGTAATTGTGCGACCTGTAGAGCCAGTGAACATGCAACAGCCAATGGGGAAAAATTACTTGGCAAATACACTATACAAGACACTTCCAAAAAGGTGATTCTTTGGAAGCTTCCCCCAGGTGATGTTGTTTTGATATCAAGCCACCAGTTTTAAGAGACTATATTACAGTAAACAAAGCTGCCTGAAACC